GAGGAGAGTGGCTAGGTGGTTGCTGTGGTGAAAGTTGCAATTCTTTTCCCCTTTCCTACAGCAGTGGAAATACTCTCCAAGAGAAGAAACATCTTCACCAGCCCCGACTCCAGACATAGTCAGATAGCATTGCTATCATTATTTAATAGGTCCCAAGTGCCATGGCCATACCTTTGGAAAATGGGAAGACCCCAGCACCTCCTTCTTAGGCATTACAATACTTTCACGTATTTATGGCTTTCATAATATGGTTACCATGATAGGATCAATACTTCTGTGTGACTGTGGATTCACACCCACCAGGCACCCACACTTGTGTTCAATGATCCTTAATGAGGGAGAAAAGCCTGGGTTTGAGGAGATTGTGGCAGAAGATGCTGTCTCCTTTCCTACTTTTAAGCATCTCAAGAAGAATGATGAGGTTGCAGCACCACCTGTTGGAACCTCCTGCTTTTGACAAGTTGCTCATTCATCTGAAGGAGAGACTGAGGATCTTTGAGTCTTACAAGTAGCATAACTGTTCATCAACATACAATATAGAAAACCTTTGTTTTGCCACACATTCTACATGATGTCCTGTACTTGCGTCCCATTTGCTCTGAGTCAGTAGACAGAATCAGTGTGACAGGCTGACATGGTCTGACATCTGCCCAAGGCCATATCCCAGCTTATCAGCCCATAGCCAATATGCTTTCTTCTAGGTATGGCTTGTTCCCCTCCATTTTCAAGTGAGTGAGCTAAGCAGTGAGAAGCAAAAGGGGGATAAGATGACTGCTTGCTTTAATTTCTTCCTCTGGAAGGTGAGGCAGATGGTCTCCAGGGACCAGGAGAAGTGATTGAGCAGCAATGAGCAAGATACAGGAGGATTTGGCTACCCCCTCAAACACAGAGCGATTAATTGCTCTGAGGTTACCTTTCTTAACATACCTGCTTATAGTCTTCTGATGGCTTGGATATATGAGCTGATCTGTAAAAGCTTTCTATGGATTGACCAGTCTTTAATGAGGGCCTTGGACTAAATGACCTATGGCCTTGTGACAGGTATTCACAGCATGCACTTTAAGTGATAAGGGGGCTTCATGTGAACTTTATTTGTATTTGTTTAACTGCATGGCCTCCCAGCCCCTTTTACAAGGAATCCGAATTTTGTAAAGAAGCTAGGCTGGTTCTCTTGCTAGTGATGGCCCTGAGATTGGAAACAGAGGAAGTTGAGAGCAACAGCAACTATTGTGGCACTTTCTCAAAGTTCTTATGGGTTTTTTGGGGGGGGAGGGAGGGAGTTGTAACAAACTTATTTGAGCTGTCTGTATTTTCACAACTGAGTTTGCTTCCAGAATCATAATAGACTTTTTTTTCTTGGCTGTAGAACTTTTACAGCAAGGGTGGAGAACTTATGACCTTCTGTAGATTACTAGACTTCAACTCCCATCAGTTTCAACTAAGCAGGAATGATGGGAACTATAATCCAACAGCCCCAAATAACAAATAATAACTACAAAAGAAATCTGGCAAGTGACAGATTGGTCTTTGGGGTCATATTCCCACTTGTGCTTAACCATGACGCTGCCATGCCTTGACAATAGCAATTTATCTCCTCTTGCATTTATCAAGTCCCCAGCCCAGAACTTGAGACAGGTTTAAGATGTCTTTATCTGTAGTTTTCTGTTTCTGACATACTCTTTTCTCTCCCTGCCACAGTAACATCACACACATCATGATGCCATTGTGCCAATGAGGGAATTCTGTAATTTGCATCAGTCATGTACAATGCACAATTCACATCACTCTTGTGATGACATCATAATAGACATGACATCACTTCCCTTCACCTCCCCTCCTCCTGCAGACACCAAGTTTCCTTAGATCTTCTGTCTCTCCCTTCTTCCTTCTCTCATTCTCCACTAAATATTTCCAGGGTAGAGAAAGGTCATTCTTGTTAGAAGGCCAAACTGATCACAAGCGAAGTGTTTTTGAAATTAGGCCAAAGGCCACCTGAAAATATATCAAGCACCACGAATAGGTGTCCACCCTTGGGCTAGGAAATTAAGAGGCCTGAAAAACAGTTCAAAGTGTTTCTGTGTTCTGTTAATTAGCACAAAAGTCACCGCAAATACAATAGGACAATTATGGGCAGCTGTGGGAAGTGGCAAACAGTGGCAGAGGCAGGAAACTGAATACCCAGCATTTTCTGAATAAGCACCTAGAGCTTCATCCAGGCCTTGCAGACTCCACCAAAACATTGTACAACCATCCCTTGTCCTGAAAGAGAAGAACCAAATATTCCCGTAGTCTTGCAATTCATCACCTCAGTATCCTTCCACCAAAATATTGTAAATGAACTCCCCTGGTAAAATCATTCAGTGAGATTAGGAACTACACCTCTCTGTCCCAAAACTATACTCACTCCTCTCCAACCTCACTCTCCCCATCCTGATATTTTCTATCTATGGAGAGCTTTAGTAGAAAAATATCAATTTTTGGAGGCACACTATTTGTTTTGGGTTCATAGTTGATTTGCTTTAACCAATGTAGCAAACATTTATTTGCTTATTAATCAGGGTTCTAGACCACTTCAGTCAACTGACTCTGGGTAGTAAAAAGGGTTAAAATCTAACAGCAAAATACATAACAACATTATCCATCCTATTGCACTGAGGAGCACACTCTCAACAATATTTACTGGAGAGGGGCAGGGAGGGGGGAATAAACTACTTTCCATCCCCAAAGTTTTTCTGGGACAATCAGGTCACAATGGCCTTCCTAAATCCCAAAAGGAGGGAATACTGTTCCAGAAAATGACATAGCAAGAGGTATTACAACTGATCACATGAGCTGATCACTTGACAACATCCGGAGGGCCACAAGTTCTCCACCACTGTTTAAATTGTCTGCTCCGAGTATATCCCAAAGTCTCTTAAGGGCAATATTTCTAACGTAATTGTGCCCATTCTTTAAAAGCTATGTGGCAATATAGTTTCTATGATTAGCTTCCTTCCGTCCTTCAGGTCCATCCATCTCTGTTCTTCTGTGCATCCTAAATGACAGCAAGATTTGTTGACTCTCTCTTCCACAAATACTTGTTTTGGAGTGGGGGAACAAGTGCACAGCAATGCTATTGTCTATAAAATAGATTAGAAGACAGCCAAGGACATGAAGTGCTAAACTGAGTGACTAGCAAGGACAAAAGCTGGACAATCTTGATACTGGCTTGGAAGGGGTCTCTACCTCTTTCACTTCTGCTGTTGCTAGCTCACGGTTCCTTGAAGTAGCTTGGAGATGCTCTTGATTCCTTGCGATTCCCTTCCACCAACCCATTAGGTCAGTGTTTCTCAACCCTGGCAACTTTAAGATGTGTGGACTTCAACTCACAGAATTCCCCAACCAGCATGGCTGGCTGGGGAATTCTGGGAGTTGAAGTCCACACATCTTAAAGATGCTAAGGTTGTGAAACACTATATTAGGTGCTGAATAACCTGGCTCTCAAGCATTTTGGAGTAGAAAGAGTGCAATCTAGTACACGGATGGTTGCTATTCCTTCATTTAGCCAAGATATCATACACATGTAGAAGTTTGTCATTCCATGTATTCTACCCAATGCACAATCTTTCTGAGAATATGAAATTCGCATCTCTTTAGAATTGCCCCATCATGGGCTTCAAGTAAAGAAATTATGGGCAAGATTACAGCTATGCAGTGCAGACCAATATATGTCTTACTCAGAAGTCCCACTTAGTCCCAGATCAATATGCATCAGATTGCTGCCTTAGGTTTCTAGCCTGCCGTTTTTAAAGCTGGGAGGTACAGGTCCAAGTACAGTACTGTGTGCGAGGATAGAACTTGAGATATAACAGGCAGGCATGTCAAGGCAGAATTTGCACTGTGACATGTTTCGTCACTCCCCCACCCCACCCCCATTCATGCATGATCAGAAATGACAGGCCTAAAGACAGCAATGAGTGAGGAGCAATGCCTGTGGCTCTTCTGACATTACAATTCTTCTTCTAGTCGTGTGCTGATGGACTTACAGACTAATGCTGCAATTGCTCCATTGATGCAGAACTTGGAATTCCAACACAGGCTGGAAGGGCAGGGAGAACCCAGAAGGGAAAAGCAAGTACTGGACTGTACGCATGGCAAAGCAGGAGGGCGCTTTGGAGATCTGACTCAAGGCCTGAAGTTGTTTAGCATTTTAGACACCAGAGGGCTCCAAACAGAAAGTGAGCCTTCCAGCCATAGAAAGATTTTAACAGGAAAAAATGAAACTCTTTTTTTGATATAGTAGTTTTATTGAAAGTTACACTTAAAAAGATCAAAATTAATACAAACTAAAAAAAGAAAAGGAAAAAAAGGAAAAATAGGATGTCATGCCAGCAAAGGCCACAGCTATTTCTTTGCATCAGAGAGAGGTGGCCCTCTGTTTTGGGTTGGTAGCCATTCCCAGGACAGAGGAGCTGCCTTCCTCTGCTTCACTTCCTGCAAGCTGCCCTTAAGGCATTATCACTGGCTTCTAAGGCTGGGTCTGGGCACGGCAGGGAAGAGCAGAAAGAGCTTCTCTTCTCCCTAGGCTTTGCAATGCATCTGAAAGTACAAATACGGGGTTCAAGCAGGAAATGCCACCAGGGCAATCTTTCCTGGCCAGAGCTGGGCAGAGAATTGCAAGCATGTTTTCAGAGGAGATAGGCATTCCAGAATCTTGGTGGGAAGATTCCCCCTAGAATCATCCAATCACGTTTCACCATTTCTGTTTCTTTTGTCCCTTCTGTTGCCACGGCAGCCTCACTGGATCTAAGTTGTCCATTAAGGCAGCAGGTAAGAGCATCTATAATGCTTTGATTTAACTTCCATCAGGTTGGATTAGGCCGCAGCCCTGTCTGTGGCAGAAAGGAGAGGCTCAACTACTAGCTGGTACAGCTCAGCCTGATACGGTCTGCTACAGAGAAGCAACATAAGAGCAGTTGGCAACTTTTTCAGGTAGGCAGCCCTTTCAGTGATTTCACATAATGACGTGAGTCAAACATTAAAATACTCCCCTCCCCCAATTTTGACATTTCAGCAGTCTCACTACTATGATATTGTAAGATCTCTTGCGTGTGTATGGGAGAGAGAGAAAAAAATAAAATAACATAAAATAAAAATTGTGCTGTGTTTGAGATTTAATTCTAAAATGGTGTTTCAGTGGCAGCTGCAGAGGGCAGCCATGCAACCCTGGAAAAAGCCCCCATGGCTGCTTTAATGAGCTGCAGGCAGGTGCTATGTTTGCACTCATGTATGCTGTAAAATACCTTTTGGAAGTGAATCTTAAGTGCTCTACTACATATGTGCAGGCTCACATACATGCGTACTCTAAGGCAGGTAATTATGGGGAATTCAACTTCAACATTGCATATGCAAAGGTAGATACTACCACCACGTTTCTCTTCCCATGTAGGAGTAGGTCTCTGCATTTTTATGGCGCTTTTAAAAAGTGGGCAATCTGTCCTTGAAGATGCCAAAATGACATGGGTGGTATACAGACTAACGCTGATGAGATTGGAAGCAGCCTTGCTCAGACCAGACAACACAATTATGCAAAATTGAGCTGGCAAATTCCAGTCTCAAACTTGGAAAAAAACCAGCCAAGAGTCTGTTGACTAGAAAAGGTGAGAAGAAAAGACCTAAGACTGAAACTCTGGTGCTGAGATAGATGATTAGGTAGGTAGGTAGGTAGAGCATGATTTCTGTGTTCTGCATCAGGCAGATCTTCTGTACATGTATGGCTTCTATGTTGTCTGCAATAAATGACTTATTTATCAGTATCGAGTTTCTTAAACTTCAGGTACTACAGTATCTAGTTCCTGAATGTGGACTAGTGTTTCTGGAGAGATTTATAGCTGGGCCAGGTTTGAAGTCTGCAAAAGAAGGGGTCTGTAAATGCCCCACAGGCAAGTTGTGACCCTCTAGATGTTGCAGCACTACAAGTCCAGTATGTCTGGCCAGTGTGGCCAACAGTGAGGCATGCTGGAATTTGCAGTCTGGCAACCTCTGGAAGCCATAGGCTTCTCAGCTCTGGACTATGGGTTGAACACCTTCTTCTGTGTTTGCACAATAGCCTTGGGAAGTAAGTCTGTACAACTAGCCCAAAGATTCCCATACCACTGAATCCATTAAAAATGAGAGTATAATTAAGGTACAAAATATGAGCAGGGCTTTATTATTGTATTATATAAATGGGTTTGCAGTTACCTTCTCCCATGTTGTGATTTCCAGCTTTCTACACCCCTAGAATTTCCCAATGGTCTCCCATCCAAGAACTAACCAGGTCTGACCCTACATGTCTTTTTCAAGGTTATCCATGGAGGTTGGCTTGGTGCTGCTTCTGCGATGTATTTACATCACCCAAAACAGATGTGGCTATTTTAGAAATTATCATTGCTTGCTTTACTTAGCATATGAATGTGTATGCTGTGCTGCGGTTTGAAGTTTTAGCTGCTGTTTTTAAAAAGCTTATATGTCACTCACGGGGAATCTTTGTTTCGAAAGGTAATATGTGAATTTTTAAACTGATCCAGAAATGACTCCAGGACAAATCCCTTCCTGGCCTGGAAGTGGTTTTGCCATTTTTGCTCCATTCCAAAGA